TATTAATTGGCATATTCATTCAATCCATACGAATTAGGAACCTATGCAGTATCATGCAGTATGCTCAGTGTTGGAAATCCAAATCAGAGCAGCCTGCTAGCAGCTTCAGTTTGGTGGTGGTCAGCTGTAGTTTATTTGTGAAATGCTTAGTCAATGGGAATATGGTTATCAACAAGTTTTCAAATTAACTGAAGGTGGATGGAAAAACTCCTTTGGTTTAAACTTCTTGAACAATTTGCCAAAATGTGGTAGCTTTTTCATAACAAATTTTTAATACAGATCATACTTTATCATTTACCTGGAATCTCAGAATTTTTGTATTTCAGTGGCCTACACATACTGTTATTCATAAATCTTATTGTTCAGAAATATAAGATATCTCCACATCTGAAAGTTTCATTTTTAGGAAAAATATGTTTCTCATTTGTTTCTTTTTATTATTATTCACCTTTCACATAAATAGCCGTGTTTAGTGCCTAACACAAAAACCTGTTAACCAAAATGTAGCTAAATCAAGCACTGAGAATCCAGTCACATTGAAATATGGCTTTTATCTCTTACTGGTTATAGAAGCTGATTCACTACCTCAAAACACAATACATTTACAAACATTAAAGTCATAATTAGTAAGAGTTTCTTGCTGTATGTTTTAGCAGCCAGTAACCGAAGGTGGTTGTGATAATAAAAAGAGGAGTAAGTGGGCTCAGTTTTGGAAAGTCTTTAAGAGTGAAAAGTGCTTAAGTTCAGGTAGTGAAACCTTCCAGAGAAGGGGTCGAATCTTCCAAATGCTTACAGCAGCTTTGGGGTGATTGTATCAGGCAGGAAAATAAGCATTGGCCCATGTGCTCCCAGGTTGCCAAAAATAAATCAGAGGGGGCTAATCAGATTCAGGTGGTGAGGCTAATGAGAACGCGGCAGCAGGCCGAGAGAGAGCCAGGCAGTGTGCCTGGAAGAAAAGCCATCTCTGCTGTTACTTTCTGCTCTGTCTCCCTCGCCTCAACTTCTCCTGGAATCTATTACGCTCAGGAGGAAATTCTGAATGTATGCCGTAGGCATGGAATCCTTGCTGACAAGTAGAGCAAGGAGGAATAGTTAAAGGTTTTTTGTTTTTTTTTAAATTAAATCATAGCTGGGTACATTAATGCAGTCATGGGGTACAGTGTGCTGGTTTTACATGCAATTTGAAATATTTTCATCAAACTGGTTAACATAGCCTTCATGGCATTTTCTTAGTTATTAGGACATTTATATCCTACATTTAGAAAGATTCACATGTATCCTTGTAAGATGAACCAGAGGCATGGTCCCACCAATCACCCTCCCTCCACCCACCTTCCCTCCTCCCCTCCCCTCCCTCTCCCCTTTCCCCACATTCTTGGGCTACAACTGGGTTATAGCTTTCATATGAAAGCTATAAATTAGTTTCATCGTAGGGCTGAGTACATTGGATACTTTTTCTTCCATTCTTAAGATACTTTGCTAAGAAGAATATAGAAACATGTCTGGTAAACTGAGGCAAGTCCAATGCTGGTTTCTGGGGTGACTCCAAAAATATTTAAAACTTTTCTTTTGCAACTGAGTAATAGTATTTCTTGCCTCTGCAGGAAAAATATTTCCACCGAACTTTCCTTTACATAACTAAATCTAATCCAATGATTTCTCTGGCCCAACAGTTTCATTTTACACTTGAGAGAACAGTGGTGCAAATGTCACACAGCTAACTGATGCCAGAACAAAGTCTGGGGTCTGTATATCCTTATGCCTTTTGGCACTTAACTTTCCTGAACTACAGGTCAGCTACCTGAGGCAGCAAAAGAGGCCTAAGTGCTTCATTTCAACAAGAAGGGGAAGCCCAGGAGCCTGTTCTGTAGCCAGTCCTGGAGAAGAAAAGCTACTATAGAGATACAGTAGATGGCACGAACAAGCCCCCGGTGTGTGAGACAAAGGAGAGAACTAGCCAGAGCTACAGATCAGTCAGAAATCTGAGGAACTCTCTCACCCTCTCTCACAAATACAGCAACTGTTACCTATTGATCTCCCACGCTGGACTAGGATTTATCCTGACCATTTTAATTATTTATTTTTATCTTACTTTTTATAGTAGTCCCTAGAAATAAGTGTTATTATCTTCAGTTTTCCCAGAAAGGTTAAATAATTTGCTTAAGAGCACAGCAATAGTCTTGGGATCAGAGAGCCTGAATTTATAGTTCTCCTCCTCAGCCTATTAGCTGGGACAGCTTGGAGCAGTTAAGAAGCTCTTAACTTCATCTTCTTAATTTAGGAAATGAATAAAGGGATCTTTGTGAGGATTAAATGTCCTTTGTAGGCCGGGCACAGTGCCTTATGCCTGTAATCCCAGCATTCCAGAAGGCCAAGGTGGGAGGATGCCTTGAGTCCAGGAGTTCATGACTAGCTTGAGCAAGAGTGAGACCCTGTCTCTACTAAAAATAGAAAAACTAGCCAGGCATTGTGGAAGGCTTCTGTAGTCCCAGCTACTCAGGAGGCAAGAAGACCACTTGAGCCCAAGAGTTTGAGGTTGCTATGAGCTATGACACTACAGCACTCTACCCAGGGCAACAGAGTAAGACTCTGTCTTCAAATAAATTAATAAATGTTCTTTATACAAAGGCTAACACTATGAGCTCCACGAACGCTAGCTGTATGTCAAAGGTTACTGTGCTTTATTTCAGTTTTGAATCACTCAATGTCCTTTTAAATTATAGACTTTCTATGAACATTTGATTAACTAACCTCAGAACATTACAGAATTCTGTTCACCAAATGTTTTGTTCACAGAGCACTGGAGAGCTATCCATTTGTTAATTTAAGATGACACAAATATTAACTTAAGATGACACAAATATTAACTAAGTGCCAACTTGGCATCAGGCATCATGCTAGGTGTTAGCGATAGGCAAATGAGTAAGATGAGGTACTTGAACTCCAGGGGTCTAAACTCTAGTGAGGGAGGCGCACTTGAGTGCAGAGTTACAGCACGATCTGAAGTGTTATTAGTTACAGACTTTGACAAACAGTACAATTGACATCTATTTTTCTGCCTGCCTGGATTCCTGTCTTAGACGGAACTTTCTTCTTTTGGAGCATGGCTTCTTCCTTGCATTAAAGCGAAGGTCCTGAGGTGGCTTTCTAATCGCAATACCACACCCCCAGGTCTGAGCAGGCCCCATGACTCAGTCAGGTGGGTCACAGCACCCAGGCCCCCTCCAAGATGCACATGTGGAATGGCCAGGACAGCCAAAGTGATCCTGCTGAGATTTTATAGCCAGAATCAGTGGGAAGGAGCTCTTTCTCTCTTATTTCAAATATGTATGAATGCAGATCTGGACAAGTCAGTGCCTGTAATTTCTGCCCCAGGAAGATTGTTGCTCGGGGTAGAGTCCCAGATTTGGTCTGAGCACTGGTCACAGTCCTATCTTGCGGCCCAGCCATTGTGTAGTTCGGCGACTGAGTGAATATTAATGTGTTTGTGCTGGACTTCCAAAATTTGCACACAGAAGTCCCAGCCAACACAAGAGATCTGTTTGGTGCCATAGGCATAAAGACAAGAAAGCCACCAGTTCTCTTTCTGCAGATGGGTGTGATGAAAAGTATCACGAAGCAAGTGATGTTTGAAAAATGCTCAGGAGTTTTCCAGGGGAATACAGGTCAGAAAGGTCATTGGTTAAAGGGAGAAGAGGGACTATAGACCTCTAGAGTGGTTAGAAACTGGTAGGATGCTCAAACCAGAAGGTTGGTTGCACAAGTCCAAAATGTGCCTTGCTAAGGAGTTTGCATATTTTTAGGTCAAAGGAAATCATGAACTGTTTTAATGCAAAACAGAGGCCATAATTAGGTCACAGCTTAGAAAGACCAATATAGGCAGGTGTGCGGAGAATAGCAGGCTGGTTGGGTTGATTTAAATCTAGTGGACAATGGAGGATGTTATATTAGTTAGGTGAGATGCAGTGAGAGTCTCGCCCAGT